TAGGAGGCTCCCGTGAGTTGTCGCCGAAAGTGTGCCTGTGTGTGTGTGTTTGCGCGCGCGTGTCGCCGTCTGCACGTGCGGCTCCCGCGACGGGTGCGCCTCCTCCGCGGTGGGCTCCACGAGTACCATGACGTTCCAACCTGCGCCTTGACCGCCAGAGAGAATTCCGAGCACCAAGAAAGTACCGAAACTGGAAGGTTTTCACTCGTCGGGCCCTGGGAGGCGATACTCGTTCGACACTGTTTCGATACTCTTCTGGGTGCACGAAATCATGTTTGGGGGATGTGGTCCTGAAGTACGATGCGAGCAATATAACACGAGTAGCTCCTCTGCACGCCTGCCTGCGGCTCCGCCGCCCGCAATATCCCCACAACGTGGCACACAACCCGGCCGCCTGCCTGCTTGCCGGTCTGCCCCCCGCCCTCCGTCCACGGCGCGGGGCCCCCCATATCCCCCGACGCCATGACTTCTTCACGGCGTCGACCCCCCGAGGTCTGGATCCCTTCCCCGGGACCGGCTCCTCCTCCCGAGCCGTTTCTGGACGCTCCGGAGGCCCCGGCGGGGGCCCCTTCCGCGGCCGGAGGTGGCGAGCAGCGTCCCGTTGCGGTTCTCTCGTGGCCCGAGGGGAGGTCACGCTCATGGGCCTGCGCGCGGCCCGCGCAGCACTCCCCGACGGCGCCAGCACCTCGCCCGAGGGGAGGCCGCGCCCCCTCGGCCCGCTCGGCCCTCGCGGCGACAGCACCGGCGGCGCACGTCGGCCTCGCGCCGGGGCGGCCCTCGCCCAGGCGGCTCGACGGGTGAGCCAGGCGCTTGCGCGAAGTCGGGCACGTCCCCCCTGCAGGAGGGATATTCGAGCGCAGTGCAGAGTCTGATGGTGACGATGTTCCGTGTTCTTTTGGCTACGTCTGGTTATTCTTTGACCATTTTCAAGTCTTCCTCGAAAATCCGCCTGTAGGGGGACATGCCCGACCTAACGCTCGCGTTCACACCGGCTCTCGGGTGTCGTCGGTCCTGCCAGCCTCCCCGTTTTTCAGTGTTCCTTGCTGCCTTTCTCCCAAGACCCCCTCAGGTCGTGAGCCAAGTCACGACAGGAGGTTATTTTTCTCTATGTTCGGCCTCCGGTGGGCCCTGACTGGGCCCCATGAGCGTCAAAAATCGACTCAGGATGAAAAACCGGTCCCAGGGAATGTGTCCGGACTTTTGGGGGCTACGTCATGAAGAAATCATGTCGTCGGGGGTCTGGGTCCCTTGCTCCCTCTCTCTGTCTCTCTTTCTCTTCTCACTGGTGGTTCCGTTTTTCTGTATCCCCTGCTCCCCCGCTCTTCCTCTCTCTTTCTCTCTCTCTTTCTCGCTGGTGGTTTCCGCGCCCTTGCCAGCCGCTGCGCATGTTCGCTGGCAGGTCTGCTGTCAGCACGCGCAGTTTTAGCGCCTGCTGCCTGGCACTTGTTTTTCGCCAGCCTTGGCTGGCATTCTGACGTGACCTGCTGGCCGGTGGCTCACCGCCCACCAAACCACCCCAACCCAACCCAAAGGCTCAGATTTCCCCTCGATTTTCAGTGGGGGGGGTCGGGAAACATCGGAAAACACATGTGGAACCCTTACCCCCCCCCAACCCGAAATTCGGGTCTTCGGGTTGGGTTGGGGTGGTCTGGTAGGTAGTCAGTGGCAGGGGACGAAGGGACCTGACCTTCGGCGGGAGGGTCCAGATTGGTCGCCTCGGATCTCGGCCTTCTTCTCGCGCCCTCCTTGTCTTGCACGCGCCTGGCCTTAGCTGCCCAGGGGTGTGGCGATCGCTGGACCGACGCCCGTCTTGGCCAGCTCCGCACGCGTCGTTACAGCGGCAGTATGGTTGGATGACAGCCAACGCGTCCTGTAATCAGCAAGCGATCTTGTTGGTGCTGGCGCGTCCGAGGGGAAAAGACAATGGTTTGTGTGTGTGTGTTTGTGTGTGTCTGTGTTTGTGCGTGTGTGCGTCGTCTGCCGTGTGATTTTATGTTCGCGGAGTGTGGTGCGCGTAGTGCGTTTTTGCAGGTCTTTTGTGTCTCTGCCCTTATTCATGACGTTCGTTGTCATTCGTCTCTGTCGTTTCTTCTGGCTTCGGCCTATACTCATGTTCCTTCGTCGCTGTCGTCGGGCCGTCCTCCTTCTCCTATCCCCCTTGTCTGCCATGCGGTCCTTCTCCGCTGGCGGATGCACTGGGAATTCTGTCAGGTCTCTGTGCACCACAAAGGCTAGGCATCGAACATTTCTACGTTTTTCCCAACCATCCTGTGGTGCTAGGTCCTCGTTTTGAAGAGACAGCGCACCGTGTCACCTCACTCCTCTTGCCCCCTCCTCCTCATCTCAACATCATCATCATCATCATCATCATCATCGTCGTCATCATCATCATCATCATCATAATCATCATCTTCATCATCATACTCATCATCAGCATAATCTTCATCATCAGCATCATCATCAACAGCATCATCAGCATCATCAGCATCGTCAGCATCATCGTCATCATCAGCATCATCGGCATCATCATCAGCAGCAGCATCATCATCATCATCATCATCATGATCATCATCATCATCATCATCATCATTGTCATCACCACCATCCTCATTGACACCATGGCCGTCATCATCACTGTCGTTGTCAACATCATCGCCGTCATCATCACCGTCATCGCCATCAGCTTCGACACATTCCTCACACGTTTCGTGGCCCGATAGGGAGCTCCACCGAAGGCCCCAGTCAGTGGCTGCGTTCGCCTGTGCCCACCGCACCCATTCCGGCACAGCCCTCACACGTTTTGTGGCCCCATAGTGAGCTCCACCGAAGGCCCCAGTGGCTGCGTTCGCATGCGCCCACCGCACCCGTGTCAGCACACACCTCACACGCTTCGTGGCCCCGCATGGAGCTCCACCGAAGGCCCCAGTGGTTGCGTCCGAATGCGCCCACAGCACCCAGTTCGGCACAACTCTCAAACGCTTCGTGGCCGCATAGGGAGCCCCACCGAAGGCTCCAGAGGCTGCGTTCGCGTGCGCCCGCCGCACCCATGCCGGCACGCCCCGCATACGTTTCGTGGCCACACAGTGTGTTCCATCGAAGGCGCATGCGCCCACCGCACCCGTTTTGGTACACCTCTCACACGCTTCGTGGCCCTATAGGAAGCTCCACCGAAGGCTCCAGTGGCAGGGTTCGCATGGCTTCCACCGCACCCATTCTGGCACACCCCTCACACGCTTCGTCGCCCCATCGGGAGCTCCACCAAAGGCCCCAGTGGTTGCGTTCGCCTTGCGCCACCGCGTTATCTTCGGCACACCGCTCACGCGCTTCTTGGCCCCATAGGGAGCCCCACCGAAGGCCCCAGTGGCTGTGCCCGCATGCGCCCACCGCACCCATGTCGGCACAGCCCTCACACGTTTCGTGGCCCCATACGGAGCTCCACCGAAAGGCGTCCAGTGGGATGGTTCGCCTGTCGCCACCGCGCAGATTTCGGCACATCCCTCACACGTTTTGTGGCCCCGCAAGGAGCTCTGAAGGCCCCAGTGGCTGTGGCTGCGTTCGCATGCGCCCACCGCACCAAGTTCGGACCACTCCCCAATAGGCAGCTCCACCGAAAACCCGAGAGGCTGCGTTCGCATGCGCCCACAGGATCCATGTTGGTACACCTTTCACACGCTTCGTGGCCCCATAGGGAGCTCCACCGAAGGCCCCAGTGGCTGCGTTCGCTTGCGCCCACCGCACCCATTTCGGCACAGTCTCGCTTTTCGTGGCCCCAAAGGGAGCTCCACCGAAGGCCCCAGTGGCAGGGTTCGCATGGCGCCCCCGCGGTCATATCGGCACACCCCTCACACGCTTCGTGGCCTCATAGGGAGCTCCGCCGCAGCGGCAGGGTTCGCATGGCGCCTGCACCAATTTCGTTCCAGCCCTCACACGTTTCGTGGCCCCATAGGGCGCTCCACCGAAGGCTCCAGTGGCTGCGTTCGCGTGCGCCCGTCGCACCCATGCCGGCACGCCCCGCTCGCTTTTCGTGGCCCCGTAGGGAGCTCCACCTAAGGCCCCAGGCTGGGTTCGCTTTGCCCCACCGCACCCATGTTGGTACACCCCTCACACGTTTCGTGGCCCCATAGAGAGCTCCACCGAATGCCCCAGAGGCATTGTTCGCCTTGCGCCACCGCACCCACGTCGGCACACCCCTCACACGTTTCGTGGCCCCATGGGGAACCCCACCGAAGGCCCCAGTGGGAGGGTTCGCATGGCGCCACCGCGCTCATCTCGTACCACCCCTTGCACGCATCGTGGCCCCATAGGGAGCTCCACCGAAGGCGGGACTCACAGCTGCGGCACTCACAACTTCATACGTCTGGGTCCTTCGCCAAGACAATGATGCGGTTCTCGTTTGCTGCCCGCGTCCTGCCTGTCTTGCACTGCCCGCATTGTCCCGCCCCCAAACAGGGAGAACGCTGCCTCGGTTTGAGGGTGATCGTCCCACGTAGGAGTGCAGTTCATTTTGACGCGACCTGTTCGTCTACGACCAGTTGATGATCCGATGCTGCGGAGTTGAAGAAAGTGTCGTCGGTTGTCCTTGCGAGATTCTCGCAACCGGTGCTTCTAGCGGCATGCCGTCCGTGTCAGTGTAGAGGCCTGGGCCGCGTCGTGCTCCACTCGAACGTAGGTGCTGGGCGTGTTCCGTGTTCAGGGTCGGATATGAGAGTCGTGGAGTTGTTGCAGCATCTGTGAAACAGCTGTGCGTATCTGACATGTTGAAGGTGCACTGGCATGAACGCGTGGTGCATGTGATATGCTGGCGCGCATGATGGCTGGGCGTGTAAGGTGTGAGTGTGCGTGCGCTGCGCATACGCACGCCGAGTGGAAGATGTGTGTGATGTGTCGCCGACGCGGGTGTGACGACAGCGATGGCGACGACGATGACGAAGATGCCATCGAAGACGACACGACGACGACGATGCGCCCTTTGCCTTGCATTTTCGGCCCCAGCGGCGACGATGCCGACTGCCGCGACAAGAGTAAAAGCGAGGCAGGAGACAAGCGTGAGGGCTCGTGCTGAGGCCCTGACGAGAACCCATGCCCGTGCTGGAGGGGATGCCTGTGTGAGCGGCCCAAGAGATCGGGGTCGACGGTGCGGACACTCGCGCGCAAGCTTCCTGCGTGTGGCCTCTTCTCCACGCCAGCGGCCCACGTAAGCCGCTGCGGAAGGTCGCCATGCCTTCTCGCGTTAGACCCCCTCCTTGTCGCTGTTCACGTGGCCATGAGCTGGGGATCCTTCGCTGTGTCTGTCCAGCGGTACCTTGTCCAAAGAGCACGCCGCTTTGGGATGCGCAGGAAGGTGCAGGGGAAGAGGCACGATTGGATCGCAAGAGCTGCCAGGCTCTGCCCTTCAGCGGCTGGGATGGATGGAGTCTCGCACTCTGGTGGGCTGCTCCCGGCCTCGGGAGCTCCACGGACGGTTCTCGGATGACACCTCGTACGTGCCTCGTTCCCCCGCCCTCCCCCCTACCAGAAAAGGAGAGGACAATGAGCCTGAAGAAAGACGTATTCATATGCAGCTGCGAGTGCCGCATTGTGGGTACTGGTTTCGGTGGAGCTCCCTCTGGGGCCACGAACCGTGTGCTCCCTGGGGGACCACGAACCGTTTGAGGGGTGTGCCGAATTGGGTGCGGTGGTGTCATGCGAACCCTCCCACTGGAGCCTTCGGTGGACTCCTTATGGGGCCACGAACCGGGTGAGGGGTGTGCCGAATTGGGCGCGTTGGTGCCATGCGAACCCTCCCACTGGAGCCTGCGGTGGAGCTCCCGATGGGGCCACGAAACGTGTGAGGTGTGTGCCGAATTGGGTGCGGTGGTGTCATGCGAACTCTCCCATTGGAGCCTTCGGTGGGGCTCCCTATGGGGCCACAAACCGTGTGAGGGGTGTGCCGAATTGGCGCGGTGGTGCCATGCGAACCCTCCCACTGGAGCCTGCGGTGGAGCTTACTGGGCCACGAAGCGTGCGAGGTGTGCGCCAGATTGGGTGCGGTGGTGCCATGCGAACCCTCCCTCTGGAGCCTTCGGTGGAGCTCCCTATGGGGCCACGAAACGTGCGAGGGGTGTGCCGAAGAGGGTGCGGTGGTGCCATGCGAACTTTCCCACTGGAGCCTTCGGCGGGGCTCGTGTGGGGCCACGAAACGTGCGAGGGGTGTGCCGATGTGGTGGACATGCGGAGGGCAGAGACACGGATGGGAAGGAGGAGGAGGAGGAGAGGATGCGGGAGGAGAACGCGGGGCGCTGTCTCTCCAAAGCGAGGACCCAACACCACAGGATGGTTGGGAACAATAGTCAGAGGAGGAGTGGGGAAGGAGGGGGAAGGAGGTGGACATGTATGCTTACTCGATTCGTAGGCCCTGGCATGTGTTGGAACTCCTGGGAACTCGTTCGAGAGCACCGGGAGCCGAAGTCCAAATCAGCCTCTGACCAGTAAGGCGTTCCCGCTGGAACCTCGACCGAGAAAGAGATGCATTTGCGGTTATGTGGTGTCGCCGCCTGCTCTATCGCAGGACAGGTTTCTGTAAGAACAGCCGCTGGCTTCATTTGACTTTCGGCACGAGGGTATGCCGGCGGGAGCATTGCCGATTGGTGGAGGATGATTAAGGCGCCGCAAGCCTTATTCGTTAAAATAGACCTCAATAGACCTCTGTGTTCTTATTTTGCTTTATGTTCCTGTCAATCGCCTCCAGGTGACGATCCTGGACGTGATCCAGGCCTCGCACGATACCAAGCGCTTCCGCGTCGCCCTGGGGGCCAAGGATAAGAGGGGGCACAGGGGCGACATCGCGCGCGTGGCACGCTTGTCGCGGGGCCTACAGCCAGACCCGATCATTCGGAATAGTAGTTCTAGACGCCTCGCGTAGCCCCACCAGCCCCTCCAGAAACGATGCCCGGAGGAATTGCCTCGATCAGGGAAGTGGGCAGCGCACAGAGGAAGGGTTCCCCAGTGGAGGCCTCTTGGAGCGTCTTGGGTGCCTCGGAGAGCTTCTTGGGGCCTCTTGGGGGTCTCTTGGGAGCATCGTGGAGGCCTCTTGGGCGCCTGTTGGGGCCTCCTGGGCGACTCTTGGGGCCCTCTTACAGCGCTCTTGGGAGCCTTGGGAGCGCTCTTGGGGCCATCTTGGAGGACATCGATCAACACAAGAAGCGAGCATGAGTTAGCGTTGCCCCTCGGGAGCCTAAAACATCGCCTCTTGGGGCGCTCTTGGAGCGCTCTTAGGCGCTATTGGGGCCGTCTTGGGGCTCTCTTGAGTCTCTCTTGGAGCCCTCTTGGGTCATCTTGGAGCCATCTTGAGGCCTCGGATGGCCATCGGACGCGAAAAGGTGAGAAAGCCAAACACATGTGTTTTCCTAAATCTTTGGCCTTTTCGGGGCCTCCTGGGGGAGCTCTTTGGCCACTTGGAGCCGTCTTGGAGCGGTCTTGGGGCATCTTGGAACATCGTGGGAGCCATTATGAGGCATCTTGGGATATCTTGAGCCATCTTGGAGGTCATCTTGGGCTCTCCCAGGCGCTCTTGGAGTCATCTTAATCAGTGCCTCCACCCCGAGAGGCCAACATGTGGCTAAAACCTTGGAAAACTCAATGATTGTAGCATTCTCGCCGAGGCCTCTTGGAGCATCTCGGGTGCCTCTGGGGGGTCTCTTGGGGCCTCTTGGGGGTTCTCTCGGGAGCCTCTTGGGGGCATCCTGAGGGCCTCTTGGGGCGTCCTGGCCACCTCTTGGGGCCCTCTTGGGGCACCCTTGGGAGCATTGGGGGCCATCTTCGGGCCATCTTGGGTGAGGTCGATCACAGGAGGGGGG